TCCCCCCGGTCTTGCTTGTCTCTTGGAGGGTAGGTTTTGTGTGTTATATTTGTTTTACCGTGTTTCCCCGAAAATAAGACAGGGTCTTATATTAATTTTTGCTCCAAAAATTAATTTTGGATGGTATAAAATTTGAACTAAGAAAATAAAATAAAATAGTGGGTCAGGGAGACATTTCTAGTCCATTGTCTGTCCTGTCAATTTTGTGTATGCATGACAATCTTGCCAATAAACCTGCAAATCTTACTATTTCACATATGTACTCTTTTTTTCCCAAAACCATATCACTATCCTACAATTTGCAAACAGTGGGGATGGAGGATTCCCCCCCCTCCCCATCAGATTTCATCTGGTTCTCAGCAGAAGCACAGGGTGGAGCTTTTCTACTTGGCACTTCAACTGGAAGTTCAGCTTGTTTCACACTTAATGGGAAAAGAGAGCAGAGGCACTTCAAGCTGGCACCACCAGATGCTGGCTGAGCATGGCCAGCTTCCCTCCTTTTGCATTTAATGTATATTGCTTCCTTGTTGTTCCTTTTCTTCTTTGGGAAGAATTTTACTCACTACAGCAGACAGTAATAATTTGTGGGCCAAATTAGGGAGTATTTTGTGCGGGGAATAGCCAGGTGTTCAGTCCTACACCTGCAGTATGAAATACTGTAGGTGAGCAAATGAGAAGCTTCTGTTTACGTTGTTCAGCCTGGAGAAAAGAGCACAGAAGCACACACGTGCCTGGCCGAATCCTCATGATAATAAAGACCTTATCTGTGATTCTGCCTGTAGGCAGCTCTGAGCAGGCAGTAAAATGGGGAAGTGCGGGATTGCTGGGGGAAAAGGTGGCTGATGTAAACCTGCTTGCTGCCATCAAGTATTTCCAAATTGGAAAACATGAATCTAATCCAGATGACCATGCTGTAATATATTGGCTCAGTTTGGCTAGAACACTCTGTGATGGGTTAAACGCTACGTGAATGAGCGTTTCTTCTGTGAAAAAGGACTCACTTCTGCTCCCAATTCCATTGGGATTGCAAAAAGGGAGGTTGGAAACCTGCAGTTCGTGGTTCAGGCTTACTACAGCCTGTTGTTGCATGTGAAGCAGAAACTGTGCTTACCTTTAATCAGGGCTGGGCAGTTTTGGAGGCTTTGCAGGTCAGCTCACCTGTTCCAATGAAATCTGAAGTCTCCAGAAGGCTACCTCCAGTTCTAGCCCCCATCCACCCAGTTCTTCACTTTAAATAGCTGGGAGATGTACCAGGTTGCTAGAGGAGAAATTGAACAGAAGGAATTGGTACATCCACAGAAGTCCAGATTATAAATGAGAGATGAAGTCCCAGGATGTAGATAATAGAATCGAGTTCTTTATTCTGTATTCTTTAAATGGGTAGTTAAAAAGCTCTGGTTCAACACGTTTCAGCAAAGCCTTCTTCAGGAGCTAAGCATAAAGCCAGGATCAGCAATTACAGTTTGTTCTTTTGGCCCAGTTAGGACATTGTGGAAAACTGATCAGTGTAAACATGATACAGAGATTTTCAGTCTCTTCTTAGTGGCCCTACCAACCTTGCCCAGCTCATTTGTGTAACACAAAACAATTAAGCTGAAGTTTATGATAAGCATAACTGAGAATACACAGCGTAGTTCAAACTGGTTATTTAGCCTTTGTTACTCATCCTCTCAGAGCTTTGACTCATACATCCAAACCTATCTCTGTAGTACATATATCCACGCCTTGAAGCAGGAATAGCCCTGACTTGTAAATTGTGTATCTGGTGATTACAACAAACCGCACTTAGCAAAAACTGTGATTTCAGATCTGGATTTGTTGGCCTCAAACAGATTGATAATACATGTTATTCTGTATTAATATTATGTAAACATAATAGCATGTAAATATTACATAATGGCCAAAATCTTGTTCCTTAGTGTAGAAAATTGCACTAGAGTAGGCCCATATGAATCAATTGAGTTTATAGAGTTGACTCACCAGATCCCCATTGATTCAGTGGACCTACTCTAGTGCAACTGACTACTGTGTTTCCCCAAAAATAAGACAGGGTCTTATATTAATTTTTGCTCCAAAAATGCATTAGGGCTTATTTTCAGGGGATGTTTTATTTTTTTTTAATGTACAACGATCTACATTTACTCAAATACAGTCATGTCATTTCCTTCTAGTTGCTGCACAATGGTGGAGGGTGGGGTTTCACTTGACTAGGGCTTATTTTTGGGGTCGGGCTTATATTATGAGCATCCTAAAAATCATACTAGGCCTTACTTTCAGGTTAGTCTTTATTTTGGGGAAAACAGGGCACCTAAAATAACAGAGTTTGGATCAGTGTCAATTATTTCATCATTTTATTTGTTTATTTTCTCAAACAAATTCTTGGGAAGTTTATTTGGTATGAGATAGAACTTTTTGTTTCAAGATTATTTATGTTACTGATTTAATATTTTTATACGCTGCTTTGTTACAACAAAACCATTTCCAAAGTGGCTAACAAAAATAATTGTTTTGTTTGCTTTTGTTTATATTGCTTCAAAGATTTAATCTTTAAAAGTACTGTTTAATTGTATCTGTTAAATTTTTATCTTCTATGGTTCCGAAGAGAGAGATTCCGGGGGAAGAAATCCACTAACAAAATTCATTTACGTTTTCTTGACTTTCTGTTTTCCGTTATGAATAATTTCTTCTCTTTTGTTTTATGTCCTGCCTGCCCTTTAATATCTCTAGTCTAGTATGACTTTCTCCTTCAGTCTTGCACACATCTTACCCACTAACTTATTTGTCATTAATTAAACAAGCTTGACATGGTGTTGACCTTATTTATTCACTTTCCCCTTGCTCTTCTGGTGTATGTGTTGCAAGTTCTTAATCATTTGGGTGGGGTTAAGGAACCTACTGTAAATCTGAAAAGCTCAGAGTGCTTTTTCAGTTTTTTAAACCCCCCCCCCAGTTTTTTTTTTCAGTTCCAGGTTAGAATGAGGAAACAAAAGAACATAAAAATACATTGTAATACAGGCTGTCATCTGGTCTATCACCCGGGCTACCCAAGGCTGGGAACCACTGCTTTAGGCCTATTCAGTTGCTGTCTCTCAGTGGCAATGCTGCCTGGAGGATTTTGGGAGTTGTAGTCTAAAAAAGCCTTGTGTCTCTGGAATATAACACAAAGTAATTCACAAATAATTTCATAACATTCCCGAGTTTCCTATTATCTATAGGCTATGCAGCTAATTGATCAAGCCTATGAACTGCCACTGAGACCAAAGCTATTAACAATTGTTTTCTTTCCAGGATCTGAGTTCCCCACCTTCTTTAATATCTAGGCCTTGGCAACAGAATGTTTGTCTCCTACAGGAGATGCCATTTATTAGCCTGTCCAGTTCTTGATTCTTTTCAAACTGGTTCATAAGCCCCTCATGCAAGTTTCAGGAATTCAGTTGGCTTCCATTAGGAGTACAGTATTTAAAAATCTGTAGTCAAACTTGCTGGGGCAGAGGCCTGTGTTGAACTGCTGACCTTGGAAAAGTCCCACTCAACTTAATTGTTTCTAGTTCAGTTTATAAGTCATGGAGTCCATGGGAAGTCTGGGTTTCCCTAGGTTGTGACACAATGACTCCTAAGTCCTCCCATTGATCAAGGCAGTACGGGGAGTGCATTCCCTGGCATTCAGCATATAAAAACCTATTTCTGAAGGTGTTAGGTATAAAAAGCAAAAAGAGCAAGTGAATTTGTAGCAAAGCAGGCTGCTTATATCCTGCCCCTAGTGCTTAAAGCACTCTCTAAGCAGTTTTCAATTTAATTACACAGGCTACAGATTGCTCCCCCCCCCCGCCCAGCGATAGAAGGCTAAATTAACCCTCAGCTGGGTACCTGAGCCCATTGGGATCGAACTCAGGTTACGAGCAGAGTCTTGACTGCAGTACTGCAGTTTAACCACTTTGCCGTGAGGGAAATGGATTTCTTTCTCGTGACCAATCATTGTAATCATAGTATGAGAAAGTAATGTGGTGACTACTCAGGGGAATTGCAGTATACACCAGTAACAATTATATTACCTGTGCCAGTTTATTGACTTGGCACAAGCTTTTCGAACAGCAGCTGATGAAGTGAGTTGCGTTTTACAAAAGCTTATGCCAAATAAAACTTGGTGGTCTTTAAGTGCTAGTACACACTGTTTTCTCCAGAACAAGCTAACATGTATAACCTTTAGAAATTTTTGCCATGCATCTTATTCCTTAAAGTTACTAAATGTCATTAACTTGCAAACCTACCATAACACTTGACCTTATAGCAAACACTGTATTTGAAACAGGTTTACATTTTTTTTAAATGCAGAGTTTAGAAAAACATGTCACTAGAGAGAATTGTATAAGCTGCCTGGCATTATTTACATGGAAATATTGGTATGGGATTTGTTTTGCACATGTTGATTCATTTTTAGAATGCAACCTTCTATACACTTGAGAATAGGTCTCAGTGGGATTTCAGATAAGCACAGGAAGGACGACCCTGAGACAGTAACAAAGGAGAAATCAGCCAATAATGTCACCATTTTAAAACAAGCTATAGTGACAAAGAAGGTCGGTTTCCACCCCAAACCATTATTATATTAGCTGTTAACTGATTATATTGCATCATAAATGCAGAAAATTAACTAAGATTTGCTAGGGAATACGCTATTGGACATAGTACTTTGTCCAGTTTTGGACGAGGATAAGAGAGTTACTCTCCATTTTCCCTTAGGGAGACAATATTATTTATCCATGTGATCCTCTTATAGGGCCCTCCTCAGCCAGGATGGCTTCTGGAGCATCTTACAGATAGGTAAAAATAAGGAAGTCACTAGTCAACAGAAGGACACAAGACAAAAAGTAATAGGGATAGAGAGGGAAAAGGAAAGCAAGAACACACCATTACCAGTTTTTAATGTCAGATCAATCTTGTAAGGAGCAGCTGTAATATAACCAGAAACCTGTTTTTTTTCTTCTTCTTCTCATAACCAGCTGCAAAGGAAATGGTTTTGTGGAGAAGGCAAAGAGGTCAGTGAAGAGCTGTCTTTTTAAAAAATTTGATTAAAGGTATGCTTAGCCATTATATCTTTCCCATGGAAGCTGGTTTAGACAGCTTTGTGGTGATCCAGCAGGCTTCTTCATGTGGTATGTGCTGCGTGGAACAGTTTAAAGGCTGCCTTGTGATATGAAGTGACTCATTGGCAGAGAGTGGGGGTTAAGGACAAGAGGAAAAGGCCCCGTGCAGCCCAGACTTCTGGATAGGCGGTGTCATTTATATAATGCAAGAATGTGTCCACATACGATCCCTTGAAACAAAAGGACTTTTTCTTTCTTGGAAACGAATGCACCATAGAGGCTTTAAATTAATCATTCAGGGATCAGAAACAGAGCTTTTTCTCAGGCGTAATATACTGGGTGTTCTTCATGCTAATGAGATCCTGGTTTCATGGAGTAGCACTTCTCTGTGCCTGAACTTCATTGTCAGTTTGGAAATAAATGGAGTGTGGCTAAATGAACACCCCCCCCCGCGCTTTCTCAAATAGTTTGTCTTTGATTGCCATACTTGGTGAGTTTGTATTGCATTCTGCTGACAATAAGAAGTAAATTCATCCTCCAAGATTTAATTGCTGAGGCAGAAAGAGAAGACCTTATTCAATAAGTGTCAGCTGTTGACATCTTCGTATTTCTCCAGTCTGGAAAAATGAGCTCCTGAAATATAATAGTCCTCTTGTGTGAACTGATTTACATTTTTGCATGAATGTGTTTTTACATCATTGTTGGCCCTCTGCCACTTGGGTAGTTCTTTATCCTTAGAGCAGGGATGATCGGGGTGGCCCCACAGGTGTTGCTGGACTGCAAATCCCAACACTCTTCATCATTGGCCTGGCAAGCTAAGGCTCCTGTGAACTGCAGTCCAAAAAACATTTGTAGGGCTACATCTTACACCTTCCTGCTCTAAAATATTGTCTATTATGTTGTTTTCTTGGTTAACAGTTGTGCTAGATCAGGTCTTAAGTTATAATAATGACTAATGGAGATATTGTAGGGATGTGGTGGCACTGTGGGTTAAATCACAGAAGCCTCTGTGCTGCAAGGTCAGAAGACCAGCCATTGTAAGATCGAATCCATGCAACGGAGTGAGCTCCCATCACTTGTCCCAGCTCCTGCCAACCTAGCAGTTCGAAAGCATGTAAAAATGTGAATCAATAAATAGGTACCACCTCGGTGGGAAGGTAACGGCGTTCCGTGTCTAGTCGCGCTGGCCATGTGACCATGGAAACTGTCTTCAGACAAAACGCTGGCTCTATGGCTTGGAAACGGGGATGAGCACCGTGCCCTAGAGTCGGACACAACTGGGCTAAATGTCAAGGGGATTCTTTACATTTACTTAATGGAGATATTACAGTTGGTGTTCAGCTTAGTTTGTATGGTTTCTGTCACCTCTCACACACACCCTTCTTCCAACGTTCTCAGAGGCCCTCAGCCTCACTGCTGTGGCTACATTCTTAAACCCATGCACCTGGTAATAAATTCCACCAGACTCAGTCAGTCTTAACTTTGGAAAAAACCTGTATAGGTTTGTGCCATAGGCTATTTTAAACAAATTGGTCTTGGACAAGGCAAATTCTTACTGTCTAATTCTCATTTCTGGTTTATTTGATCAATATTAATTAATTATGTTTTAACTTTTGCACATTGTATTATCTCACCATTGCAGAAAATGAGATGAACAAATTTTGGAAATAGAGAATTAAATATTCAGACTGGCTTAGCTTCACAGAGATAATTACATCAGGATTTTTCAAAACACGGAAGATTGCAGTACCATCCTGTACCCATGTTCTTGGGAGACAGATCACTGAACTTAATAGGAGTTGATTCTTAATAGTAGCAGATATTCTGTTCTTAGGATCACAGGGAGAAAGCTAAGGTGAACATATGGAAAGAGGTTTAATGCCTTGCACTCATTGCACACTTAGATATTGGGCTGAAAAGACCAATATTGTGTGTGGCTATACAGTAGTTAGTAACATATGCTCATGTGCAATTAACTTCATTATTATGAAATTTCAAGCATCTTTGTCAGGTATATTTTTATCCTCATTCCTCCAAAGAGAATATTCTGAATGTATAATGTACAAGAAAGTATCTGACAGTACTGATATATGTTGGTAGTTCAAACTTTCATCAGTTTTTTTCTCAAGTAATCCACCTTTGTACATTTTTGTTTAGAGTTATAGAATAAAGTAAGGCTTTGCCCCCCGTCTCTCTCACACAAGGATATGTTTTCACAGAGAGTTGTGCTGTGCCCACTTCTGAGATCATTGCTGTTGAGGAAACAGAAATTGATAAGAAACAATCTAGTACTGGGAAATGGCAAAAAATGACAAAACCACATGCATTCACAGGTAATATAATCTTACCTCTTACCTATTTTTTTAAAAAAAACATTTCTAAGTTGTGATCTTTCTGTATGTACAGTGTACAGTGGTGCCCCGCTAGATGATGACCTCACAAAACGACAAATCCACGTGCCGATGACTTTTTGCGGTCGCTATAGTGCTTCGCAAAACAGTCTTTCCTATGGGCGATTTTCACTGGACGATGTTTCGGTCCGTGCTTTGCAAGATGGTTTTTTTCGGAACCGATGCTTCGCAAGACTGTGATTTTAACAGCTAGGTCCGCGACTCGCAGAATGGGTGTTTTCAGAGTCCGCGACTCGCAAAATGGGTGTTTTCGGAACCAATGCTTCGTAAGACAGTGATTTTAACAGCTGGTTGGCGCTTCGCAAAATGGCTTCCCTATGGGCGATTTTCGCAAAACGATGACGATTTTTCCCCTTTGGAATGCATTAAACAGATTTCAATGCATTCCAATGGGGAAACGCTTTTTGCAAGACAATGTTTTCACAAGACAGCGATTTCAATGGAACAGATTAACATTGTCTTGCGGGGCACCATTGTGCTGCTAAGTAAATCTCACTCAGAATGGCTATATTTGGTTATAATGATAAAGCAGGGTTAGGCGCCAAGTAGAGCTGTTTTAGATTTTGGGGCCTGTCACCCTCACACAGGTGGTGGTGATGCAAAAAAAAGAAGGGAGAACTGTGTTTGTTAGTGAATGGGACATGCTTCTCTTCTGAAACATGTCCTCTTGTCCAGCAGTTTGTTGGAGCAACAGCAAAAAAATCTAGACAAACCCTTTCTCTCAGTAACTGGCTGCCTAGGAGGTTCCCCTCCCCCAATAATTGAAGTTTTTGTTATTTTTAATGTGTTTTTAGAACTACCTACTATACTAATTTTTAAATTATATCTGTTTAATCTGTTTTTAATTCTGTAATCATTTACTGTTTTAGCTTTTAATACAATTTTTTGAAAACATTTTAAGTTGCCTTGAGGAGAAAAGCTGGAGATAAATATTTTACGTACAAATATAAGTATCTTTATGTAAAATATTTTATGTAAAAAAAGTTTGTTTTTCCATATTTTATATCTTACTTTTTAACTAACAAGGTCATTTTGATGAGGCATTTGCCTCATTTTTATATATGGTTTTTAGTAATGATCGAAGTTGATAGTATAGTGTTAAACTTGCCAATGTTTTTCAGTGGCTTAAATGCTGAAACAGCTTTTTGAAAACCAAGAGGATGGAGGAATTTCATTCAAATTTAATCCTTTTAACTCCTGAGATTTTCTTTCTTTTTTATTTACACTTCTTGAAAAGATAGTTAATAATGTTTGGGAAATCATCCTTCCTGGCAACTGAGTCTTCCTCTTATCCATAGGAAGAAGGAAAGAAAGGAATGGCTAGTATCCAGCATGGCACAGCATTCATGCAAGCAGCTTCCACGTGTGTTAGTAGAAGGGGGCAGTTGATAGACCTCCCTCCTGCATGAGGTGGGAGGTCTATCAACTTCCATCCTCAAGAACAAAAACCTGTTCCAGAAGTTTGAGATACATCCCAGAGCGGGTTTTCAGTGCCAGAGAGGATGGGAGAGGTTGACGGCTTGAAGTGTCATCATCATTATTTGGAAGTATCACTTTGGATTCAGGCCTTTGGCTTTCAAATGTAGCACTTTAAATTCAAGAGGTTCCATCTGCCTGTTTCAGATGAAAAGCCAGGCATTTCAAAGGATTCTGCATATATTAGCTTAGTAAAAGCAGAATAAACCACACATCTACTCATTTTTTTGTGTATGAATGGAAGTTTTACTTTTCACAATGGTGGTACATGAGAGGAACATGTTGGCTGTCTTGAAATCACTGAGGACATTATGGTTTTATATCCATTACTAGCTGACATCCAAACCGGGGATTTCTGGGGAACCTTCATTCTGAAAGGTTTCCCAGTTCTGGAAAGTCTTGAGTCTAAAAAAGCCTTTAAAAACTGTCAGCTAATTTTGTCAAATGTACTGTAGTTTTAATTTAGGATGCCCTACTGCCATGTAACCTAGGCCCTCATGCTACAAAATATCACTGTAGCATAGCAACCAGGAGACTGAACTATGAACGAGGAAGTCACAACTTTCTGTTAACAGATCAGATGGCTATAAGCAAGCCAACCACACTCTTTCTATGACTCATGCCCCTATTTGCACTGTGGAGACAGAATAGTGACCCCCATCATATAGGATTGGTCTACTCTACCACTATGGCCATTTACATGGATATAAACCTTATTGAACTCAAGGTGACATATTTTTGATTAAATGTGTACAAGGTTCTGCTGTTACTAAGTTCATATAAGTAGAATCTTTCAAACACTGTCAAATTGTATATATAAATGCTGCATATTATATTAGAATTTGTATCACGAGTGTTTGAATTAATTTCTTTCTTTCTTTCTTTCTTTCTTTCTTTCTTTCTTTCTTTCTTTCTTTCATAAATACCTCTAATGTTCTCATTTGTATATTTTATTTTATTTATTGTAGTGTACCATGTGAAGAGGGCACGACATCACTGCTGGCAGTGCAATGAAGTGACATTCTGGTGCATTGATGAGCATCTTTGCAATCGTTGGATACGTGCACTAAAAGAATTACTTGATTTGCAAAGTAAGTTGCAAAGGAGGAAGTTGTTTCCTCCAATACTTCTAAGAGAGTTCACAGTTCAGGAATCTAGGCGAGAAAGGAGACGCACAAGAGTAGGTCCATGAATTTCTATAGCCCTCATATAGCTGTTATCAGACAGAAATAGCAAGGGCCTTACATGACTTTTACCAATATTTCGGTAAATTGGGTAAATTGCTAGCAGTCGGCAATTACATGGGTAAGACCAGAGGTTTCTCTTTAAAGCAGCTACTGCTCCCTTCCCTTTATGCTCCTTGGCATGCATGAGCTTGAATGTATATTTGACAGAGAGTATTTTCTCTGTGACAACCCTTCTTACCATGGAAAGTGCAATTCTTAACATTCATATGCCCGTTCCCGGGAACTAACTTACAGGAGTACAAAATCTGTTTGTGCATTAGGAGAAATGCCTTGATCATAAGGGCAGTTCAGAATGGGGCCACTTATTCCAGAGCATTCTCTCACTGAAAGTTGTCTTGAGTGTGGCATGGGCAGCTATTGGGGATGCTCTACCTCTCGGTTTTCTGCATCAAACAGCAGCTTGAACTAGAGCAGAGGTCGTCAACCCCCTGTTTGTGGCCTGGTGCCAGTCCATGGGGTTGCCAGAACTGGGCAGCGGATACGGATCTCTGCCCCCCCCACATGCCCACAGAGGGGGCCGTGTTACACTTGTGCGGGGGGATTGCACTGGCGGGAGCTTGTCATGCTCACACTCACGTGCATGTGTGCGAGTGTGACACCCCCTGCACAAAAAGTTGGGGACCACTTAACTAGAGGCTTTACAAGGCACATTCCAATTCTGTGGTTCTTCCAGAGACATCTGTATTAGGTCAAAATTCATGTCAGTAGGACACATTGATATTACCAGCACAAAATTAATGCCATGTGTGTATATTGATTCTTTGACCCTTTCTGGTATGTATCCTTTTATGTATACATGGAAGGTTGTTGCTTCATACGGTGCTTGTCCCTCCTTCCCTTCTACTAAGAAACTCAGCAACATCAAATAAGGTAGTGAAACGTAAGCTATTTTTAGAGCAGGTTTCTCCCCTCCCCTGTATTTTCTTGCGTATAATTTCAGTGAAGTAATTTAGAAAATGGAAACCGTGTCTGGTTGCATTTTTAAAAGTTGAAGTGAGTGGATGTGATACAACAGTAAATTTCCAGGGACTCAGGTGTTCAGATGTTTTATTATTTATTCCTAGCTCTGCTTTGTGGCAGGGATCCTGGGAAAACCTGTATGTGTGCTGTCTGTTTGGAGTGATGGTTTTACTAAGTGAAGGGTTAGACCTTTTCTTTAATGTTAGGCAACCAAGGATTTACTGAATTCTACGATAACACAGATTCAGAAAGAAAACAAATTATACTTCAATCATCAGAGACTAAGGACACAAGGCTGAGTGCAGGGGTCAGATCAAAGCAGACGATGACGAATGTAAATCAAAATCCTTCCAGTCTACAGGCAGGGCCAAAATGGGGAAGGGGAGGGATTATGGTGAGGAAATAAAGGAACACGGCTAGCGTATTAACTATTAACAATTTCTGACATTCAAGGCAGATGTATAGACTGAAACAGACAACAAAAATAAATCAAATTACCTTCAAATAAATTTTAGAAAATACAAATTTAAGGACAGAAGTGAATTGGAAAGGAAAATATTTTAGTAAGGAAGTGGAGTGACCAAAAAAGGAAATTGGTTTATGCCCAGTGACCTGGAGCAGCTGGCTGCAGAGTCAAGGATCAAGAGTTCAAGTCTTCTCCATGCATCAAGGAGAAGAGTGAGCCTGTGCAGCCTTCAGCAAGCTGCATGACCCTAGATTGTGCCCAGAAAGAGAGAGTCTTAAACCACCCAACAGTAAGTACTTTATACCTAGAAAATCGTGGGGGTAGTCACTGTGACTTGGAATCGACTTGACGGCACATCATTAAGAAACACATGTTGAAAACATGTGGGTTGCCACAACTCTTTAGACATTCCTGCTCAGAAGAAAGAGAGTCAGAAAACATTCAGAACAGACTAGAAGCAAGCTAATATGCTTTTTTCAAGTTCCCTCCCCTAGTGCCCAATAATCAGTAAAATGATGTCTTGTCATTAGGAGCTAGTTTTGCCACTCACAAAATGGCACGTTCCAACTTTTCCCAATTATTTATTCATGATTTATTTATTAAATTTATAATCTGCCTTCTCACTAAAAAATAGCACCCAAGGCAGCTTACAGAGCTGTTAAAAGAAATAAAAAACAGTTTAAATCCAACATTTAACTAAAACCGTAATGAAATAATATAAACCTGCCCTACCATAAAACCATAAAAATAATGTATACAAATTGAAAACAGAGCAGGCTAAACATGAGATGCCAGTATAAAAAGATGGGTTTTTACGGTCTTCTTAAAATCAGTCAGAGAGGAAACAGATGGCAGGTTCAAAAGGAGTGCATTCCACAGCCTAGGGGGCCACGCAGGAGAAGGCCCTCTCCCATGGACTTGCTAGCTGGGCTTCTGAAGCTGTTGGCACTTTTAAAAGGGGGGGGGGTCTTTCCTGAAGATCTTAAGGTCCGGACAGTTTCAGAACAAGACAGGCTTTTCCTCCGATAGCCAGACCTCAAGCAACTTAGATCTTTCAAGGTTAAAAACAATACTTTGTCTTGGACGTGGTAAACAAAATTGGAACAAAATAGTACTGGAATTAGCCCTAAATTGATTTTGAAAAAAAGAGGATTCAACATTGACTGAAAGTTTATGGCAGCATCCATAATGGTACAATTTATTCCACTGGAATTGTTGTTTAAAATGATTTCAGTTCTTTGACAGTTTCTTGAAATGATCATGGTAAAATTCTGGCATGTATAGAGGAGCTGGAGAAAAATTTAGACAAACAACATATCCCTTTTCATTTTGGCAGCCTGTAGACCAAAGCACTTGCTTGTATATATTAATCCGTATGGAGGAAAACATCAAGGAGAAAAGATATATCAGCAAAAAGTAGCTCCCCTGTTTAGCCTGGCTTCCATCACCACTGATGTTATAGGTGAGTTACATGAAATGATCTGCGTTTTAGCCATTTCTGTATAGTCAGAAATTATTTACAAGTGGCTTCATTTTTGGACTTTCTTTGGAAAGAATTGGCATTGTTTTGGTTTTGCTTTGTGGAAATGTTAGTGGCAAGTGTTATCCAAATGCTATATTTCTAAGTATTTAACCTAAAAGGCCTGGATACAGGATACAGAGTGGATCAATTGAAATCAATAAGGTTTAAGTTGATATAAATTGCATCAATATCATTGATACAGCTTGGCTTAAATGCAACCAATGTGTTTTTTTAAATGAAGGAATGCTATTCTGTCTCTCATGGAGAGACATCGTGGGCATAGTCCAGTCCAGATTTAGGCAGGCTTAAATCCATTGATTATAGCAGTGGTTCTTAACCTTTTTGAAAGAAATGCCCCCTTGAGCCATTGAGGAAGTTATCATCGCCCCCCTCCCCGCGGTGATGATATCTTATTTATTTATTTATTTGTTTGTTTGTTTATTTATTTATTTAT